TTATGACTCTTCATTAGGCAACTTAGAAGAAGCATGGAGAGGGCACAACATTACAAAGTTATCCTATTGTGATCCAAAATAAATATACACTCGTTAACAAGGAACGTAGTCTTTAACTTCCCAAAAAATCATATGAAATCCAGAAAACTGCCCAATTTGTATCGCTTACAGTATCCCACTGGCATAGTGAGACTAATTTTGCACAGGGAACATGGAAACTCTTACGACAACACTTTTTGAAACAGCCAAACGCATCACCTTTGAGTCCGCAACAGGAGCATTTTATTTTTCGACTTCTGGAGTTCATTTTCAAAATAAACATTAGGAGCCCTGAAAAAAATAACATTATTATATATTAAAATTATCGAAACTATACCGAAAGAGCATATTCGGTTATGAACACTTTTACCATTCACTGCAGTTCTTGTGCGAATGTATGACCTTAGAGCCACCATTGTAATCTTGAGGTACAAGTCTGCCTTCATAGTAATTAACCATCTCTCCTGTAGCCTGCAATTTTATATAGCAAATAAACTTCATCAATTTGATTGAAAAGATGGGCAATTTTAGTCATATCATAGACTTTACAGGAAATACTAAACCTCAAAGTCTTCTATTGAAAGACAAAAAACATTGTGTTTTGTTTGTAATAGTCTCACATTTACACAAGGTCGCTTCATTTGCTAAAGGCAACTTATTTACTGTTGAACCATGACCATATGAAATTCCAACAGTGGGACTCCCATTAACCTTTCCATTTAGTCTTTCTAAAGCCATATTACTATTTCCTTGCTGCTATTGATCTTCAGCCAACACACTTTTTGTGTCACCACGAAAAGAAACTTTCATCTTTTTCTTACAACTTAAGGTTTTTTCACTTTTCAAACTTGTAGTCAACTTTACTGCCCAAGCACATTTAATTGATCATTTTCTAACCTGTTTGGCACCACTTTCATGAGCCAGGGGAGTGGAGTGGGAAATGAGGACTTCTGTTTAATCATATTTTCATTTGTCGGACTTCATTAGATAAAAGAACTTATTACTGCCAGTGCAAAGATATATAAAAGAGCTCATTAACTATTAACATCAGATCAAAAGACAAATGATGAAGACTTAATTAGATAACATCAGTCTCCTCACCTTTGGATTTCTGCATTAAATCTTCAATGTCAGATATATTATTTCATGCAGCCCCACCCCTAGCAATGCAGGAGGGTAGGGGTGCAAGAAAGAAGTCAATCAATATAATAAAAAAAGGGTATTGTTGCTTACTTGAGAACAAGAATTTCATGCCTTAAAGATCTTTCTAGTTAGAACCATTGGCTCAAGTAAGAAAAAAATATCAACTACCGTTGAGAAAAATAGTATCTCCATCTGTAAACAAATCATCCATATTCATAAAAATTGCCACTACTTCATTTGCTTATTTATTCCAAGTTTCAAACAAAAAAGAAAGAGAATTTTTAAGGCTAAACCTATGTTGTTCCTGGATTCAAGGATAGTTACCTTTGTAGATTTAAACATAAATTGGACAGGACAATTAAGGTAAACCAGTGAACCCTTGGTTAGTCCATTAGAACACCAGATAGTTTCACATGTCTTCCATGGATACACCATTTGTTTCATAGTAAACCCTTGAAGCTGTATCAATATCAGGTAAACAAACCCTTGTATAAAAGTAAAATATCATCCATATTTGAAACGTTTCAAAGATTTTAAGTCAATAAAAAACCAAAATTAAAAGGAACAAAATATGAGAAATTAAATGTCAACAATTTATTAGATTTAGGTAAAAAATATCCTTAATCTGTAATCAGAATATAAATCAAATTTTTAAAAAACCCAGAAAAAATTCATCACAAAATATAATCTAACAAAAGTATAAATTAAAAGAAAAACGTAACAGATACAAGAATTGGGTAAAAGAAACTAACTTGAGAATCTAAAGAATTGATTGACATAATCAATGGGCAAGTTTCTTAAATGGGTGATAGGTAGTGCTCAGTTTTTATTTTTATAGATGGGATTTCAACCGTTGGCTTAGGATAAAAGGGTAATTATACCTAAATTCTTATGATATTTATAATATTATTATATTTATAAACTATATAACCAATATAATTTAAAAATAAATTAATTTAATTTAAAAATAAATTATATAAAAATATTTAAATAATATTAGAATAATTTAAATTATTTATGTTAAGAACATATTAATATAATTTAAATATTAATATTATTATATAGGGCATGATCTAATTATACCGTGTGAAACTCTTTTAGTTTATACCATTTTAAGACCAGTAGATGGGAGAAATTAAAGAGTGAAATTAATCGTGAAAAATGAAAAGATATTCACTAAAAAACGAATTAATCTCAATCTTTGATTTATCTTAATCCAATGGCTCTAAAAATGTGTAAAACTAAAAGAGTTTTACATAGTATAAATGGATCCTAATCCTTATTATATTTAAAAATTATATAAATTAATTAATTTAATTTAAGAATAAATTATATAAAAATATTATAATAATATTATAATAATTTAAATCAATTTAATTTAAGAATATACTAATATAATTTAAAATTGTAATTTAAATATTAATATTATTATATGGGGGCAAAATCCAATTATAGTGTGTAAAACTCTTTAATTTTATATCATTTTAGGACCATTTGATGAAAGAAATTAAAGACTAAGATTAACCATGGAAAATGAACAGATATTCACTAAAAAACGAATTAATCTCAACCTTTGATTTCTCTCAATCCAATGAGACTAAAAAGATGCAAACCTAAAAGAGTTTTACACAATATAAGTGGATCCTAATTTTTATTATATTTATAAATTAATTAATTTAAATTAAGAATAAATTAATTTAATTTATAATATTTTAATTTAAATAAATAATATTATAGTAAATATCGAGGATTTTCCTAATGTGAATGAAAAAGCAAAAATGCATAAGGACAATAGATTGTGACACTTACATTTTCTTCAACTATGATAGCTGAGAAAAAGAGAACCAATTTGTCGCGCGATTCACAAAGATTCCTTTTCTTCTGCCTATTGACTTCTTCGCTTGTAGGATATTCCTTGTTGTGAACTGGCAAATGTCTACAAATGAAGCAATAACTTAATGAAATTTCCATGAGCATGAAAAGGTGAAGTTTGTAAAGAAACTAGAATAAACTGGATGAAACTTCAGCATACCCTCTTAAAATACTTGTTTTTCTACTTCCTTGAGATTCTGACTCTTCATTAGGCAACTTAGAAGAAGAATGGAGAGGGCACAACATTACAAAGTTATCCTATTATGATCCAAAATAAATATACACTCGTTAACAAGGAACGTAGTCTTTAACTTCCCAAAAAATCATATGAAGTCCAGAAAACTGTCCAATTTGTATCACTTACAGTATCCCACCGACATTATGAGACTAATTTTGCACAGGGAACATGAAAACTCTTACGACAACTCTTTTCGAAACAGCCAAACGATGCACCTTTGAGTTCGCAACAGGAGCATTTTATTTTTCGACTTCTGGAGTTCATTTTCAAAATAACATTATTATATATTAAAATTATCGAAACTGTACCGAAAGAGCATATTCGGTTATGAACACTTTTACCATTCACTGCAGTTCTTGTGCGAATGTATGACCTTAGAGCCACCATTGTAATCTTGAGGTACAGGTCTGCCTTCATAGTAATTAACCATCTCTCCTGTAGCCTGCAATTTTATATAGCAAATAAACTTCAACAATTTGATTGAAAAGATGGGCAATTTTAGTCATATCATAGACTTTACAGGAAATACTAAACCTCAAAGTCTTCTATTGAAAGACAAAAAACATTGTGTTTTATTTGTAATGGTTTCACATTTACACAAGGTCGCTTCATTTGCTAAAGGCAACTTATTTACTGTTGAACCATGACCATCTGAAATTCCAACAGTGGGACTCCCATTAACCTTTTCATTTAGTCTTTCTAAAGCCATATTACTATTTCCTTGCTGCTGTTGATCTTCAGCCAACACACTTTTTGTGTCACCGCTAAAAGAAACTTTCATCTTTTCTTACAACTTGAGGTTTTTTCACTTTTCAAACTTGTAGTCAACTTTACTGCCCAAGCACATTTAATTGATCCTTTTCTAACCTATTTTGCACCACTTTCATGAGCCAAGGGAGTGGAGTGGGAAATGAGGACTTCTGTTTAATCATATTTTCATTTGTCGGACTTCATTAGATAAAAGAACCTACTACTGCCAGTGCAAAGATAGATAAAAAAGCTCATTAACTATTAACATCAGATCAAAAGACAAATGATGAAGACTTAATTAGATAACTCAAACCTGCCACTTAGGATTACTAAAGCATACGGAACGGTCTTTTCAAACTTTGAGCAGCTATTTTTCTTCCATTATGTGTTACAAGGCATTTTTCAGTATTTAAACCGTCGAGTTGCATTGCTTTCTAAAATTTCCCACAAAATCATAAAACCATCTCTAACTATTACAAGTAAGAGTCAAGGGTACTTGAAAAACGGCATCTCCTCGGAACTTAAATTTTAAACGAAAATTAACAGAATGAGAAAGTAAGAGTACCTTTTACTTTCAGTTGTTGGCTGAGGAAGTATGGACATAACAGCCCTATCAGCTAAAACTTCAATTGGATATCCTAAACAAGATTGTCAATCTAGTTTGATATATCAATAAAGTAAGACATGGTACCACAAAGTAAACTTCAAGAATTCTCAGAATGACTGCAACAGAACTAACACATTAACAATATACCCTGTAATCAAGGATAGTATTAAGGTCACAGAGCTTTCTGTTTTTCAAATAAACGGTCAACTCTGAAGTTTGGCATTATAGGTTTCAAAGGAGCCATTAGGAAACTCCAAATGAATCATGTAGCATCCTTTATTCATTTAAGAGGATTTTGTAGTTAAGAAGAGCATAATGATGTCACTGTCATCAAGCCTAGACCAGAGCATCCCAAAGGTGTAAGGCTTGAGCCTTGTCAAGTTTATTTGTTAAAAGATTACGATGCACGATAATGCTTAACACACTTCAAATCTTAAGCTGATATGTACGTCTACTTACCATGAGAAGCTAAGAAAGGTATAGTGTATTTCATTTGTATAACATGACGTATTTCTGGTTAAATCTTAAAACTCTTGATGTTGCCATCAGAATCTCCAACATACCTGCAAATTTAGAAATTAAATCGATATGAAAAATTCAATTGTCGCATGTGCTCTTTTGAAAGTTGAAATAAACTACAGTAGAGCAAAGAACCGAAGCTAGACTTGCATGTCGGGACTAGTTTGCATAACTGCAAAAGAAGTAATTTCTTCTTTAAAGACATATACATGAGACAAGAGCCTCTTTTCCGAGTCCCAAACCTACTTTACAATTTCCATAAAAAATTAATTCCCATATGAAAGAGAGAAAATAAGACATATTTATAGGTAAAGTATAGAGCAAGAAGACATATTTGTTTGTAAAAGTAGACATATATATAGAAACTACTTTTACAAACAAATAATTTAAAAATACAATGTCCTAAATTTTATTTCTAATAATTTTTCTTAGAAAGCAAAGACATAGAAAAACATAAAAAGAGAAACCAAACCAGGCATACATGAAAATGAATTAGTCACATATAGAACCGATAAACCTTTACAAATAAAACAACACTAACATGTAATCAGAAAAGAAAACCCAAAATGTCAACAGTTTATTAGATTTAGGTAAAAAACAAAATCCCAAATATATAATCAGAAAATAAATCAAATTTTTAAAATAAAACCTAAAAAAATCAAGAAAAAGGCCGCATCTACATTCATCACAATGTATTTGGGATTTTGCTAAAACCAAACTTACCCCCCGTACAATAGATAATACCAAAAAACAAGAAAAAAGCAAAACCAAACCAAAACTCCCTATCTTAGCCAATTTTAGACTTTGCTAAAACGTCTGCCTCTAAGTTTGCTAACCTAACTATCCAACGAATAACGCCCTCCAAGTTCCTTATCTTATCTGCAATTTCTTAATCCACTCCACAGACAACATACTATCACTCTCAATAATCAACCGTCTCTTAGAGCACCAGCTAGAAGATTCAAAGAAAATTAAACCATGTTTAATGGCCTTAAATTCCATTAAAGAAGGACCCAGACCAGCAGCTTCTTGAAAAGATCCTAACACTGTGCAACACTCGTCTCTTAAAATCCCGCCTAAATCGCAAGCCTTCCAATCACCATTAATAGCAGCATCCACGTTCAGCTTTAGAAATCCCGTAGGGGGATGGGACCAAAAAATTTGATTTATTATCAAACATTTTGGAAATCCCATGGGGTCCATCACAAAAACATATACCATTAATTTCGAAATTATAAGTGACATTTACCCCGTCATATGAATTCACTGAACTTCTCTTATCAATCCAAACCTTATATAACATAATAATACATTTCATTCAAATTCTTATCAGATACAAATGTAAGAATATTATATATACAAATAATTTGAATGCATCGCATAAATTCTGAGTACAATATATCTACATATTTACATAACATTTTTAGAGCAAAATACCAGACAACTAATAATCGCAAAACAATAAATCTCGCAATAAACAAAGAAAATGACACCCAATCAAAAAAAACTCACAAACCAAATATAACACCCTATAGGAACACACCTTGACAAAATCAAACAACGATAATCATATTCAAAATATTATGCAAATACTCATAGACCCATACACCTTACAGACCATTCAAAATGGGGCTTGACACAAAGGAAAAGGCCATTGAATTTGAATGATATTCACTATGTCGAGTGAATACATTGAACTATCAATCAAGACTCAATATAACATGATAAGATATTTCACTCGAACACTAATCTGATCCAAATGTAAAAAAATTAAATATAAAAATAATTCAAATGCATCGTATAAATTCCAAGTCCGATATATCAACATATTTCACACAACATTTTCTTAACAAAATATCAGATAATCATTAATCGTAAAATATTCATGCACGCAATAAATAAAAAAAAATAATTAATCAGATAAATCACAAACAAAATATAACACCCTATAAATATACAGCTTGACAAAATATTCTAGCAGCGACCAACAATTCCCAATCTTTGAAGTGTAAAATCACAATTCACATCATAGCCCGAAACAACAATAAAAAACATATTCCAAATTAAACATTAATAATCAGAGTCTGAATACTATGCAAACGATCATACACACATACAACTTATTGTTCAAAGAGTAAAGTCCGAGAACCACTCTAATTATAACACACCATCTGAAGTGTGGTCCACCAAAAAGGCATATGCCCCTGAATCTAAAGTTACATTCACCCTATGGAGTGAATACACTAAAACTTCCGTATCAATCCCAACCCAATATAAATTGATAACATATTTCATCTAAATGGAAGAATATTACATATACAAATAATACAAATGCACCGCATAAATTCTATGTCTGAAATATAAAAATATTTCACACAACATTTTCCAAACAAAAAAAAAACAATCATGCTCATAATAAACAAAAAAAAATGTCAGCTAATTACATAACTCAGAAACAAAATACAACACCCTAGAGAGATACACCGTGAAAAAATATTATAACAACGACCAACGATTTGCACAATATCTTTAAAAAGCATAAAATCACAATTCATATCATAGTCCATATCAACCAATAATAATTATAATCCAAATCAAACATTAATCAGTCCTAATATTATGCAAATGATCATGCACCCATACGACTTACGCATCGTTCGAAAAGTAAGTTTTCAGAACCACTCTAACTCCAATAGACCATCCGAAGTACGATTCGCTACAAAAGCATAAACCCCTGAATTCGAAGTGAATTTCACCCCATCGAATAAATACATGAAACTTCCCTTATCAATCTCAACCCAATAAAACATTATAACAAATTTCATCTGAGTGTAAGCATATTACCTATACAAATAATCCGAATACATCACATAAATTCTAAGTCTGATATATCAATTATTTCACGTAGCATTTTTCGAACAAAATACCAGACAACAAATAATCGCAAAACAATCATTATCGTAATAAAAAGTGAAAATGTAAGTCAATCAGAAACCTCACAAACAAAGTATAACATCCTATAATGACACACCTTGACAAAAAGATTCACAGGGTGTCTTTAAAGTGCATAAAGTCACAATTCACATCATAGATCGAATCAAACAATGATAATCACAGTCTGAATATTATGTAAATGATAATGCACCCATACGCCTTACACACCGTCCGAAACGTATGTTCCATAGAACCACTAACTACAACACACCATCCCAAGTAGGGTCCGCCACAAAGACAAAGGCTACTTAATTCGAAGTGACATTCAACACATCAAGTGAATACACTAAACTTCCCCTATCAATCCAAACCCAATATAACATCATAAAATATTTCATTCGAATTTTGATCTAATCCGAATGTAAAATATTACATATACAAATAATCTAAATGCATCGCATAAATTCTAAATTTGATATATCAACATATTTCACATAACATTTTTCAAACAACAAATAATAATAATAATAACAATCTAAAACAAGTAATAATAATCATTGTTCGAATATTATGCAAATAATCATGCACCGGTACACCTTACAAATCATCCGAAGTTGGGTCTGCCACAAAGGCTGAGGCCACTGAATCCAAAGTGACATCCTTATATAACTTGACAACATATATCATCAGAATTCTAATTTTATCCCAATGTAAGAATATAACATATATAAATAATCCAAATGCATTGCCTAATTTCTAAGTTCGATATATCAACATTTCACAAGACATTTTCCAAACAAAATACCTTATAATCAATAATCTCAAAACAATTATGCTCACAATAAACAAAGAAAATGTCAATCAATCAGATAACTAACAAAAAAAATATTGCATCCTATAGAGAGACACATTGAATCAAACATTATACAAATCACATCATAATTCACATCATCTAACACATCATGTCTTTAAAATCTATAAAGTCACAATTCACATCATAATTCGAATCAAACAATGATAATCATTATCCAAATCAAGCATTAATAATCCGAGTTTGAATTATATAATTTAATTTAAGAATAAATTATCCAAATCAAACAATGATAATCATTATCCAAATGAAACAATGATAATTTAATTAATTTCATTTAAGAATATATTAATATAATTTAAATTAATGTATTCTTATGATATTTTATAATTTATAATTTAAATATTATTATATTCTTATGACCTTAGAGCCACCATTGTAATCTTGAGGTACAGGTCTGCTTTCATAGTAGTTAAACATCTCTCCTGTAGCCTGCAATTTTATATAGCAAATAAACTTCATCAATTTGATTGAAAAGATGGGCAATTTTAGTCATATCATAGACTTTACAGGAAATACTAAACCTCAAAGTCTTCTATTGAAAGACAAAACATTGTGTTTTATTTGTAATGGTCTCACATTTACATAAGGTCGCTTTATTTGCTAAAGGCAACTTATTTACTGTTGAACCATGACCATCTGAAATTCCAACAGTGGGACTCCCATTAACCTTTTCATTTAGTCTTTCTAAAGCCATATTACTATTTCCTTGCTACTGTTGATCTTCAGCCAACACACTTTTTGTGTCACCGCTAAAAGAAACTTTCATCTTTTCTTACAACTTGAGGTTTTTTCACTTTTCAAACTTGTAGTCAACTTTACTGCCCAAGCACGTTTAATTGATCATTTTCTAACCTGTTTGGCACCACTTTCATGAGCCAGGGGAGTGGAGTGGGAAATGAGGACTTCTGTTTAATCATATTTTCATTTGTCGGACTTCATTAGATAAAAGAACCTATTACTGCCAGTGCAAAGATAGATAAAAGAGCTCATTAACTATTAACATCAGATCAAAAGACAAATGATGAAGACTTAATTAGATAACTCAAACCTACCACTTGGGATTACTAAAGCATACGGAACGGTCTTTTCAAACTTTGAGCAGTTGTTTTTCTTCCATTATGTGTTACAAGGCATTTTTCAGTGTTTAAATCGCCGGGTTACATGGCTTTCTAAATTTCCCACAAAATAATAAAACCATCTCTAAATATTACAAGTAAGAGTCAAGGGTACTTGAAAAACGACATCTCCTCGGAACTTAAATTATAAACGAAAATTAACAGAATGAGAAAGTAAGAGTACCTTTTACTTTCAGTTGTTGGCCGAGGAAGTATAGACATAACAACCCTATCAGCTAAAACTTCAGTTGGATGTCCTAAATAAGATGGTCAATCAAGTTTGATATATCAGTAATGTAATACATGGTACCACAAAGTAAACTTCAAGAATTCTCAAAATGACAGCAACATAACTAACACATGAACAGTATACCATGTAATCAGGGATAGTATTGAGGTCACAGAGCTTTATGTTTTTCAAATAAACGGTCAACTCTGAAGTTTGGCATCATTTATTCATTTAAGAGGATTTTGTTGTCAAGGAGAGCATAATGATGTCACTCTCATCAAGCCTAGACTAGAGAGTAAACAAGAACGTCCCAAAGGTGTAAGGCTTGAGCCTTGTCAAGTTTATTTGTTAAAAGATTACGATGCACGATAATGCTTAACACACTTCAAATCTTAAGCTGATATGTACGTCTTTAAAGTGCATAAAGTCACAATTTACATCATAGATCGAATCAAACAATGATAATCACAGTCTGTATATTATGTAAATGATAATGCACCCATACACCTTACACACCGTCCGAAACGTATGTTCCATACAACCACTAACTACAACACACCATCCGAAGTAGGGTCTGCCACAAAGACAAAGGCCACTTAATTCGAAGTGACATTCAACACATCAAATGAATACACTAAACTTCCCCTATCAATCCAAACCCAATACAACATGATAAAATATTTCATTCAAATTTTGATCTAATCCGAATGCAAAATATTACATATACAAATAATCTAAATGCATCACATAAATTCTAAATCTGATATATCAACATATTTCACATAACACTTTTCAAACAACAAATAATAATAATAATAATAATCTAAAACAAGCAATAATAATCATTGTTCGAATGTTATGCAAATAATCATGCACACTTACACCTTACAAATCATCCAAATTTGGGTTTGCCACAAAGGTAGAGGCCACTGAATCCAAAGTGACATCCTTATATAACTTGACAACATATAGCATCAGAATTCTAATTTTATCCGAATGAATAAATATTACATATATAAATAATCCAAATGCATTGCCTAATTTCTAAGTTCGATATATCAACATTTCACAAGACATTTTCCAAACAAAATACCATACAATCAATAATCTCAAAACAACTATGGTCACAATAAACAAAGAAAATGTCAATAAATCAGATAACTAACAAAAAAAATATTGCACCGTACAGAGAGACACATTAAATCAAACATTATACAAATCACATTTTAATTCACATCATCTAGCACATCGTGTCTTTAAAATCTATAAAGTCACAATTCACATCATAATCTGAATCAAACAATGATAATCATTATCCAAATCTAACATTAATAATCTGAGTTTGAATTATATAATTTAATTTAAGAATATATTATCCAAATCAAACAATGATAATTTAAATTAATTTCATTTAAGAATATATTAATATAATTTAAATTAATATATTCTTATGATACTTTATAATTTATAATTTAAATATTATTATTATTATATTAATAAATTATATAAATAATTTTATTTAAGAATAAATTAATAAATCAGAGTTTGAAAACCAATCAGTAAGGGAAACAAATCAAATCATTATAAGAAACATACCATTGTTCCCTTGTTTCAAGTATATCTCTAATTTGAAACATCTTCACTGCTCAAGACAAGTTGACCTCGTACGAATTGGAGCTTCTAAGATGCAAAAGGAATTTAGTAAGTAAAATTTCTAAGCTACTTTTCCAAACTTATACAATTAAAACAGTCGAAGAACTATGTGGCCCATCATAATACATTTGAAAAAGTTATACCTTGTGCAGGTCTGAGTTTTAAGCCTCTGCTACAAATGCTAGTTTTTGCTTTAACTGGACAGACAACAATTTCTCATTGTGGAGGGGTGATTCTAGTTCTTCTTTCTCTTCCTTGAGCATTGCTAGAGTGTGCTCGTCAGTCTCCTCACCTTTGGATTTCTGCATGCACTCAAAACTTAAGTGAAAGAAATAAACCAAATGATACAGAAAATGTGAATCTGAACACATTAAATCTTCAATGGCAGATATATAAAACAGAAGCATTCAAGACATACTCAGAGTATGTGTTTTGTATCAGAGGATTTCAAGTTCAACCATAGATTTTCAATTAAGCTTAAATTGAATTGATATTGAATACAGATTTCGAGTCTCGAGTGTTCTCCTTGCCAGGGTTAGGCAATGAACTACATTTACTGTCCCATACTTGACAGTAATGCATAACTATTTTCACTTAAAAAATAATGCTAAACCATTGAAACATAAGAAAGTTTCGAACTTCAAATTTGGCCATCAATGCAACTATTAGATATAGGTTCACATCACTATCTCAGAAAGAATCTTAGTCAATATAGTCTATGATTTCATGCAAATGCATAACTAGACTTTTTTCGATAAGAAAGGGAGGCCTCATTAAAACCCACTTCATATCCATTGAAATACAAGAAGGTATCTCAATAAACATAGAAAGAAGGAAAAGAGTGTCTCAAATGTATAACTAAACTAAAGACTAATTTATACAATTCAATCTATTTATGTAACAATAGAACTAGAAGCTCAACAGGAAAGAGAAATTATTTAGTAAGAAGTAAGTCTGTAACGTATCCCGGTGGTGGATCAAAGCTGAGCTTTGACCCTCGTCGCCTACTTGCGGTGAGGGGGTGTTTTGTACATTCTAGTTATACCTGACGTCCATTACGTCCATAGGATTATAGAAGAAAAATACATCATTTTTCGGCTATAGATCTTCTCCATTTCTAGGTTTCTAGAAATATCGTTAAATGATACTAACATTTACGATAAACTATTTACTTAATCAGACATTGTTGACAAAAGTTTTTCTCTTATGAAAGAACATTTGAAAGGATATTTCTGGTGATAATAGAACCATACATTGTTTGAAACTTAGATTGCTGCAAACAAAATTCCGTCAACACAAAAAAAAATCTAACAAAAGAGGGTCCAATTATAACTCACCATTTGTTGAAGAAGATTTTGCACCTATAAAAATCAAAGAAATCGTTATCAAACACATAGAGGAAATTAGCAAACCAAAGCAACTTATTACTGTTTTACATCCATTAGATAGTATTATCCGACAAGGACAATCTTAACAGTTCAAAATGAATCAAAATCGACAGTGGTTATGCCACCATTGTAGTAGCATAAACATCATACTTTAAAAGTAGTTCTTTTTTTTTATAGAAGTTGGAGGTCTTATTAAAAACTCTCTTCGTATTCGTTCACATACTAAGAAGTATGTTAACGAACATTGGAAGAAAGAAAAGAGTACCTCAAAGTTTATTAATAATAATACCCATTACAACAAACACCTTAAGCTCATAAAACCTCATCCAAAGTCACAATCGAATCACCTTATTTCTAAATACACCTCCAGCAATAGAATTAAAACAACGCAACAGAACATAATACAAAAGGGACGCAACACCTGCAACCATATAAACTAAATCAAAACACAATTAGAGAGACAAGATCTAATGAGATTCGTCTTCTTCAGGAGTCCAAGAGTTTGGCTTGAATGAAGGCTCTATCTCATGCACCATGATCTTGAAGGAGTTGTCACCAACCTTCAATTCCAACGTCGCATCAATTCTCGCACCAGCCTTTGCGAGGACTTGAATTTTTGGCCGATCAAAGGATGATGGTGACTGACAGCTTTCATCGATTGCTAGTAACTGACCCCAACAATCAACAATGTTCTTGAAAGTATCCCAATTCCATACGTGAAACGGAACACCCTCGCAAACTAACCATACTCGGCGACACTCCATTACCAAACTCTTTGACCAAGCTTCGACTATGGAGAACCACTCTGCGAGAGTCTTTGATTTATCGTTCTCAACACTTCTCAATGAAGCAGAGTCTTCGAAAATCATTAATACTGCATTACCAACAGCTCTCAATAAGGAGAAGCCAGTGAGGCCCTTTGCATGCATTTGTCTAGTGAGATGACCGATTTTAATAAATTCTTTGCACCATCCCACTAGACAATTGCTCAACACCTAAAGTTTTTCTTCATATATAACGCCTTCAGCTTTATAAAGATTCTTCCTCGAATCATCTCCCATCTCGGACTTACGAAAAACACCTGTCGAGGACTTTCTCCAATAGGAATGTCGAGGTTTGAATTTAGCGAAAGAAACTCCAATTTTGTTACCGTCGATATGATAGCCATTCATTTTTGAGATCGCTCTCCTTGCTTCTTCGATTGATGCGAAGCGAATGAAACCAAAGCGAACTCCTTTTGAATTTCTTTTATTTGGAATAAAAGCATCAAGTACCCGACCGTGAGAGCAAAATAAAGATCCAAACCTCTTCCAATGGATCTTCTCTGGTAAATTCTCAATAAATAACTTGTAACATCCAGACTTGTCATTACTGCACCCCTTTGTGGTGGACTCCCCGATTCCCTCGTGGACACCATCTACTGCAGACTTTTTAACGCAACACCCAGTTTTAACAGGCACATGAGTACTAGGAGATCCTAGAGAAGCTGGATTTGGCAATGGCAATACTGGATGAACAGAAAAACGTCCATTGTCAAAAGAATCAGAATCAGAAACTAATCCTCTTTTAACAAGATTCTTCCTTGCCATCTCAATGTGCAAAAGAGACTTCAACTTAGCATCAAAAACCATTTTCTGAAGGACATCCTTGGCAGCAACCGCAAATTTTGCATTTGAGAAGAGAGCGAAACCCTTAGGCTTTTCTCCCTTGAAGTTCAATTGCGAATCTTCATAACCTGGAAGCCATCTAAGTAGATTCTGTAGCTCTCTCTCTTTGACGTCTTCAGGCAGACCCATAATGAAGATAGTACGAACCTCGTCACAATTAGAAGGGTGAGATGGCGGAGAAGATGCAGCTGCAGAGGGTGTATGAGCATGGACCGAAGGTCTCTGCTGGAGAGAAGAGTGGATTCCAGCACCCGGCATGTGATGAAAGACTGATGAAGTGAAAAACCCAGATACTTGACGAACTAATCTGGAAAAAAAAATTCCTATAATAAGAGCTCAGAGTTGAATCGACAGTGTCGGAGGAAATCCACCAATAAATGAGTCTGAAGACTGGGACAGCAGAGGAGAAAAGCAGAAGGTTTGGAGCAGTGAACGTCTGTTCTTGCTGAAACTGCTCACTGCAAAACTGCTCACTGCGTCTGTTCTACCGGCGAAGTAAATTGAAGTCTACGTATCACCCCTGGATATAAAATTTCCAGAACAAGAGCTCAAAGCTAAATGGGCAGTGTCGGAGGAAATCCACCAATAGATGAGTCTGAAGACTGGGTCGGCAGAGGAGAAAAGCAGAAGGTTTGGAGTAGTGAGAGTCTGTTGCTGAAATTGCGCACTACAAAATCATGGAGAGATACAACTATTCTTGACACTAAGAAATGGGTTATGGTCGCAGAAAGGCTCTGAGTACGGAGGAGATGCGATGTCTGGTGTACGTTCAACGGATGGAGACGAAAACGACCGTGAGCGGCGTTTAGATCTATAACGAATAAGAGTCTTAATCGGAAAACCAAACCCAGAATAGGAAACACCTTGTGCTGGCGATCTTCCCAGGAAAAAACGACTTCAAAACGGTGGTCGGAGTGTGGCGGATGACGGCTGACGATGGCGGCGGACGACTGGTGGTTGTCGGTGGAAAGATGCCTGGGCTCGTGGAAATTTGAATTTTGAATTTTGAAAACGCCTAGGTTTTAAAAGTAGTTCTTTAATCTTACAAAGAAAAGGTTAGGAACTCACACAAACAGTAAAATCAACAGTATTTTGCTTTGACTTGTCCGAATTATAACCATCCTGAAAAAAGTGTAACAGTCAGCTTTCAAATTACATATCATTAGTCGATCAAATCCTCAACTACCTAGAAACTTTACTCCTCTAACAAAATTTACACAAACAATCAGGTTTTTACGAATTTGGGCGAAACTGCATAGGAACTATGAAAAATCTAAAAAAGAACAAGCAATTGCATGCCATTAATTAAGGTTTCAATCTAAAAAGTACATTAAGACTGATAACAAAGCCCATATTTTAAGCCCCCAACGCCAGCATTTCAAGCATAAACAATTTTAATCCCCAAAAAACAAATATATAATAATTTATAGTTTATAATTTATAGTTTAAATATTAATATTAATATTATGATTTTGATAAATTATACAAATAATTTAATTTCATTTAAGAATAAATTAATAAATCAAATTTTGAAAACCATTCAATTAGGGAAACAAATCAAAACACTATAAGCAATGTACGGAAAATGCTTTATAAAAATATTTTAAATAATATTAGAATAATCTAAATTAATTTAATTTAAGAATTTATTAATATAATTTTATAGAATATGATTGGAAATGTCAGCTTCAAAATATGTGATTTTGTTGATTTATAGCTTATTTGAAGCGCAAAAACATTAGTACTTCCTTACTAGTAGAAGTAACATTTTACCTGGCTTGTACATGCAACAAAATTGCCACTTAGATTCCATGGAGTTTTCTGCAGCTCCAATTCAATGTTTGATGCAGTAGCAAGAGTTGACTCATAGCACTGGTTAGAGTTGTTAGTTGTGTGATTCCTAAATGTTTAAGTCGGTACATACCAGCTTGCATGCTTTCATAAGCACATACCTGTACAAGATTGAGAAAAGAAAAAATCAAGATAGATGAAATATGTGTAAACACATGCATTTCTAACCTCATAGTCTTTATATATTTTCTGTAAATATTACACATATCAAGGATCATGATAGGATAGAAACAAAGCATCTTGTTTTTCATTTCTTTTGTCTAATATATGAAGCAAAAGCATATTCATTTCATATATGCAGAATAAATAAATAAATAAATAAATAAAGGGATAGAAATAAAAAACGGTACTTAATGATCTAGCCCTTTGTATTACCACCCAAACTTTCCTTCCGAGAATGGTACTCCGGCATGGAATAATATAGTATCTCTTCCTTCATATTGTTGACCATATGAGAAGCCTATGCAAAAAAAAGAGAGCATAAACAAGAAGAAAGCTTGCTGCAAAATATTGAACATGTAAATTCTAGCCAATAATACCTTCGCAATAGGAGTTATAAACTTAACCATGAATGATTTTACTTTCAACAGTGATGGTCAAAAGGAGTGAATAAAACTGATCACCAAACCCTTGATATAATTTAAATTAGTATATTCTTATAATATTTTATAATCTATAGTTTAAATATTATTATTATATTTATAAATTATACAAATAAATTAATTTAAGAATAAATTAATAAAATTATACCTTGTACATGTCTGCATTAAGCCTCTACATATGCTAGTTCTTGCTTTAGCTGGACAGACAACCATTTCTCATTGTGAAGTGGTGATTCTAGTCCTTCTTTCTCTGCCTTAAGCATTGCTAGAGTGTGCTCGCCAGTCTCCACAACTTTGGATTTCTGCATTAAATCTTCAATGTCAATAATTATTTCATGTAGCCCAACCCCTGGCAATGCAGGAGGGTGGGGGTGCAAGAAAGAAGTCAATCAAATAATAAAAAAAGGGTATTGTTGCTTACTTGAGAACAAGAATTCCATGCCTTAAAGATCTTTCTAGTTAGAACCATTGGCTCAAGTAAGAAAGAAATATCAACTACCGTTGAGCAAAATAGCATCTCCATCTGTAAACAAATCATCCATATTCATAAAAATTGCCACTACTTCATTGGCTTATTTATTCCAAGTTTCAAACAAAAAAGAAAGAGAATTTTTAAGGCTAAACCTGTGTTGTTCCTGGATTCAAGGATAGTTACCTTTGTAGATTTAAACATAAATTGGACAGGACAATTAAGGTAAACCAGTGAACCCTTGGTTAGTCCATGAGAACACCAGATAGTTTCACATGTCTTCCATGGATACACCATTTGTTTCATAGTAAACCCTTGAAGCTGTATCAATATCAGGTAAACAAACCCTTGTATAAAAGTAAAATATCATCCATATTTGAAACGTTTCAAAGATTTTAAGTCAAGAAAAAACCAAAATTAAAAGGAACAAAATATGAGAAATTATGAAGAATAAACCTGAATTGAAAGCCTATTATAAACATATTCATGCAATAAAAAAATAACTCATCGATTGTCACATTAAAAAAATAATTTGAATAAAAAAAGGCAGAGTTAACTGAAGAAAGCAAATTGAATCACTAGACCAAAGGCATCAACATGTGAAAACAATGAAAATGGAAGTACATAGAAACTATTTTTACAAACAAATAATACAATGTCCTAAATTTTATTTTTCGTATTTTTTCTTACTAAGCAAACACAGAGAAACGCAACAAAAGAGAAACCAAACCAGACATAAATAAAAGGGAATTGGTCACATGCAGAACTGAGAAACCTTTGCAAATGAAATAACAGGTTCAAAACAACACTAACATGTAATCAGAAATGAAAACTCAAATGTCAACAATTTATTAGATTTAGGTAAAAAAAACAAAATCCATAATCTGTAATCAGAATATAAATCAAATTTTTAAAAAACCCAGAAAAAATTCATCACAAAATATAATCTAACAAAAGTATAAATTAAAAGAAAAATGTAACAGATACAAGAATTGGGTAAAAGAAACTAACCTGAGAATCTAAAGAATTGATTGATATAATCAATGGGCAAGTTTCTTAAATGGGTGATAAGTAGTGCTCAGTTTTTATTTTTATAGATGGGATTTCAACCGTTGGCTTAGGATAAAAGGGTAATTATACCTAAATTCTTATGATATTTATAATATTATTATATTTATAAACTATATAAACAATATAATTTAAGAATAAATTAATTTAATTTAAAAATATATAAATAATATTAGAATTATTTAAATTATTTATGTTAAGAACATATTAATATAATTTAAATCTATAATTTAAATATTAATGTTATTATATAGGGCAGGATCTAATTATACTGTGTAAAACTCTTTTAGTTTATACCATTTTAAGACCAGTAGATGGGAGAAATTAAAGAGTGAAATTAATCGTGGAAAATGAAAAGATATTCACTAAAAAAACGAATTAATCTCAATCTTTGATTTATCTCAATCCAATGGCTCTAAAGATTAAAGCCAACGCTGAATCATAGACTATATTGCATGAGATTAAAGCTCAAGAGATTTTGATCAAAGTCTCGGATCAAAACAGCTCTAATCAAGTTTCTTTTAACCAATGTTGAGTTAAACTTCCCATTTAGCTTCTGCAAAGGCCAAAACTGACCTAATAATTACTAAAGATCCTGATTGAGAACTTTAATGCACCATCTTGTTCCTCTTTAAAGATTATGTATTTTAGTTAAGGGAAGGGGGGAGAGCGGGTTTGGAGACTTGGAAAGCCAAGATTGTGGTGTCCCTAACAGGCACTGCATGAAATATAAGAAGAAAATCCAACCGACATGTAAATGTGCAGAACCTGATTGATATGCAAAATAGCAATTTAATGTATAGGAAATACCTTACAAAATGTTGCAGACACTGGACCATCCTTTTCCGAGGCAGCTAGTTCTTGGATGACCTTCTCCAACCCTTTACTAATGGCTTGCATCTCGTCTGCCAAACATTTCAATTGTACCTGCATGGTAATCAATAATTTTGCTTAACATCACATGGAAAAGGTTAAGCAATTTAAATATGACCTGAAAAGGCCATAAAAATCTTACCTTTGTTGCAGATTCCAAAGTCGCAAGGTCTTTTGGAAAATCTATTAATTCTGGCAACTTTTGGCTCAGGACCTAAAAGTTAGAGGCCGTAAAGAGTAAAGTATAAATCGACATTCTCACATATAATAAGGTATGGTTTGCAATGTCAATAAAAGCATTTTCTACTATGGCAATAAGTTAATGATTGCAAAAGTAAAACAACCCAACATACCATGCATTTTCTGCAATAATTTTCATGATATTAGTAACCTTTAAATTTGAAAATTAGTCTTCAACAAAATTGAAAAAGGATGCAGTGAATGTCTGCACGCATTCAAGCATTTTACTTGGTACAATAAGACAGGCATTCCATCTTGAAACATAAGTGTAGGAGTACAAGAATATTCAAGTTATTCAAACAAATTTAACAGGAAAGATCAGAATCAAGAAAATTAAGGTAGATGGTCTTGTACCTTACAAAGATAATGCATGAGAGTCATCTTTTTATTCCGAGCTCGTGTATCTGTGAGTTTAAGGAGACTATCCAACCGAAAACCAACAGCAGAACCTGTGGGGACGAACCATAAATTTCTGAAATGTTTGGAGCAAATTGATGCTTCTTGAAAAATTTGTACAGATATGACATCTAGGGATTCGATTTCTATTCTTAGCAGTTAAGGTAAAAATACAGGATTACAGGACCGTGTTAAACATTTAAGAGACTCAATTAACAATAAGAAAACAGTGAAAATACACAACTCATTCAAGAAGAATAACAGAAGGCAAATCAGAAGTGAAAAGACTGACCTTGTTTCCCATTAACAAATTTATCTAAGCAGAATGGGATACAAAAAGATGACTAAAATAAGATAGTTCTTCATCTATTAATAAAATATACCTCCTCAGTTAAATCACTCACCCCTAGCAGTTCCTTGGTTCAAAGCATTTCCCAGAGAAAGAATAGTTTGCATGATCCTTTTCAATTTGACCGAATTCCTCACCTGGTGAATGCATTGGTGAAATGGTTTAAATGACTAAAATCTTCAGGAGAAATAATACCTTTAATTGGAAAAGCTAATTTATGTCCAAAAAAAGCTTAACTTGCCTCTCCAACAGCAGAGTTTACAATGTCCAAACTATTTCTAAGATCAGAAACCTGCAAAGGTGCAAGAAGCACCAATTAGGTGACAACAACAGTAGAAAGCATCTCATACCAATCTGAGTACACAGGTTCTCCTCATACCTGGGAATAAAATTGTATTTTGAATAAGAAAACTCTTAGCTTAGACTCTACTGGTGGCACTGTCATCAATTCTAGGAAAAACTGTCACCAAATACTGAGCAAGTAATCAGATCATAGATCGAATCAAACAATGATAATCACAGTCTGTATATTATGTAAATGATAATGCACCCATACACCTTACACACCGTCCGAAACGTATGTTCCATACAACCACTAACTACAACACACCATCCGAAGTAGGGTCTACCACAAAGACAAAGGCCACTTAATTCGAAGTGATTTTCAACACATCAAGTGAATACACTAAACTTCCCCTATCAATCCAAACCCAATATAACATGATAAAATATTTCATTCGAATTTTGATCTAATCCGAATGCAAAATATTACATATACAAATAATCTAAATGCATCTCATAAATTCTAAATCTGATATATCAACATATTTTACATAACACTTTTCAAACAACAAATAATAATAATAATAATATTCTAAAACAAGCAATAATAATCATTTTTCGAATGTTATGCAAATAATCATGCACCCTTACACCTTACAAATCATCCAAATTTGGGTCTGCCACAAAGGCAGAGGCCACTGAATCCAAAGTGACATCCTTATATAACTTGACAACATATATCATCAGAATTCTAATTTTATCCGAATGAATAAATATTACATATATAAATAATCCAAATGCATTGCCTAATTTCTAAGTTCGATATATCAACATTTCACAAGACATTTTCCAAACAAAATACCATACAATCAATAATCTCAAAACAACTATGGTCACAATAAACAAAGAAAATGTCAATCAATCAGATAACTAACAAAAAAAATATTGCACCGTACAGAGAGACACATTAAATCAAACATTATACAAATCACATTTTAATTCACATCATCTAGCACATCGTGTCTTTAAAATCTATAAAGTCACAATTCACATCATAATCTGAATCAAACAATGATAATCATTATCCAAATCTAACCTTAATAATCTGAGTTTGAATTATATAATTTAATTTAAGAATATATTATCCAAATCAAACAATGATAATTTAAATTAATTTCATTTAAGAATATATTAATATAATTTAAATTAATATATTCTTATGATACTTTATAATTTATAATTTAAATATTATTATTATTATATAAATAAATTATATAAATAATTTTATTTAAGAATAAATTAATAAATCAGAGTTTGAAAACCAATCAGTAAGGGAAACAAATCAAATCATTATAAGAAACATACCATTGTTCCCTTGTTTCAAGTATATCTCTAACCTCATAGTCTTTATATATTTTCTCTAAATATTACACATATCAAGGATCATGATAGGATAGAAACAAAGCATCTTGTTTTTCATTTCTTTTGTCTAATATATGAAGCAAAAGCATATTCATTTCATATATGCAGAATAAATAAATAAATAAATAAATAAAGGGATAGAAATAAAAACGGTACTTAATGATCTAGCCCTTTGTATTACCACCCAAACTTTCCTTCCGAGAATGGTACTCCGGCATGGAATAATATGGTATCTCTTCCTTCATATTGTTGACCATGTGAGAAGCCTATGCGAAAAAAAGAGAGCATAAACAACAAGAAAGCTTGCTGCAAAATATTGAACATGCAAAATAACTCATCGATTGTCACATTAAAAAAATAATTTGAATAAAAAAAGGCAGAGTTAACTGAAGAAAGAAAATTGAATCACTAGACCAAAGGCATCAACATGTGAAAACAATGAAAATGGAAGTACATAGAAACTATTTTTACAAACAAATAATACAATATCCTAAATTTTATTTTTCGTATTTTTTCTTACTAAGCAAACACAGAGAAACGCAACAAAAGAGAAACCATACCAGACATAAATGAAAGGGAATTGGTCACATGCAGAACTGAGAAACCTTTGCAAATGAAATAACAAGTTCAAAACAACACTAACATGTAATCAGACATGAAAACTCAAATGTCAACAATTTATTAGATTTAGGTAAAAAAACAAAATCCCTAATCTGTAATCAGAATATAAATCAAATTTTTAAAAAAACCCAAAAAAATTCATCACAAAATATAATCTAACAAAAGTATAAATTAAAAGAAAAATGTAACAGATATAAGAATTGGGTAAAAGAAACTAACCTGAGAATCTAAAGAATTGATTGATATAATCAATGGGCAAGTTTCTTAAATGGGTGATAAGTAGTGCTCAGTTTTTATTTTTATAGATGGGATTTCAACCGTTGGCTTAGGATAAAAGGGTAATTATACCTAAATTCTTATGATATTTATAATATTATTATATTTATAATCTATATAAACAATATAATTTAAGAATAAATTAATTTAATTTAAAAAAATTTAAATAATATTAGAATAATTTAAATTATTTATGTTAAGAACATATTAATATAATTTAAATCTATAATTTGAATATTAATATTATTATATAGGGCAGGATCTAATTATACTGTGTAAAACTCTTTTAGTTTATACCATTTTAAGACCAGTAGATGGGAGAAATTAAAGAGTGAAATTAATTGTGGAAAATGAAAAGATATTCACTAAAAAATGAATTAATCTCAATCTTTGATTTATCTCAATCCAATGGCTCTAAAAATGTGTAAAACTAAAAGAGTTTTACATACTATAAATGGATCCTAATCCTTATTATATTTAAAAATTATATAAATTAATTAATTTAATTTAAGAATAAATTATATAAAAATATTTAAATAATATTATAATAATTTAAACAATTTAATTTAAGAATATATTAATATAATTTAAAATTATAATTTAAATATTAATATTATTATATGGGGGCAAAATCCAATTATAGTGTGTAAAACTCTTTAATTTTACATCATTTTAGGATCATTGGATGAAAGAAATTAAAGACTAAGATTAACCATGGAAAATGAACAGATATATACTAAAAAACATATTAATCTCATCCTTTGATTTCTCTCAATCCAATGAGACTAAAAAACTGCAAACCTAAAAGAGTTTTACACAATATAAGTGGATCCTAATCCTTATATATTTATAAATTAATTAATTTAATTTATGATATTTTAATTTAAATAAATAATATTATAGTAAATGTCGAGGATTTTCCTAATGTGAATGAAAAAGCAAAAATGCATAAGGACAATAAATTGTGACACTTACATTTTCTTCAACTATAGAGCTGAGAAACAGAGAACCAATTTGTCGCTCGATTCACAAAGATTCCTTTTCTTCTGCCTATTGACTTCTTTTCCTCTAGGATATTCCTTGTTGTGAACTGGCAAATGTCTACAAATGAAGCAATAACTTAATGAAATTTCCATGAGCATGAAAAGGTGAAGTTTGTAAAGAAACTAGAATAAACTGGATGAAACTTCAACATACCCTCTTAAAACACTTGTTTTTCTACTTCCTTGAGATTCTGACTCTTCATTAGGTAACTTAGAAGAAGCATGGAGAGGGCACAACATTACAAAGTTATCCTATTGTGATCCAAAATAAATATACACTCGTTAACAAGGAACGAGTCTTTAACTTCCCAAAAAATCATATGAAGTCCAGAAAACTGCCCAATCTGTATCGCTTACAGTATCCCACCGGCATTGTGAGACTAATTTTGCACAGGGAACATGGAAACTTTTATGACAACTCTTTTCGAAACAGCCAAACGCTGCACCTTTGAGTCCGCAACAGGAGCATTTTATTTTTCGACTTCTGGAGTTCATTTTCAAAATAAACATTAGGAGCCCTGAAAAAAATAACATTATTATATATTAAAATTATCGAAACTGTACCGAAAGAGCATATTCGGTTATGAACACTTTTACCATTCACTGCAGTTCTTGTGCGAATGTATGACCTTAAAGCCACCATTGTAATCTTGAGGTACAGGTCTACCTTCATAGCAATTAACCATCTCTCCTGTAGCCTGCAATTTTATATAGCAAATAAACTTCATCAATTTGATTGAAAAGATGGGCAATTTTAGTCATATCATAGACTTTACAGGAAATACTAAACCTCAAAGTCTTCTATTGAAAGACAAAAAACATTGTGTTTTATTTGTAATGGTCTCACATTTACACAAGGTCGCTTCATTTGCTAAAGGCAACTTATTTACTGTTGAACCATGACCATATGAAATTCCAACAGTGGGACTCCCATTAACCTTTTCATTTAGTCTTTCTAAAGCCATATTACTATTTCCTTGCTGCTGTTGATCTTCAGCCAACACACTTTTTGTGTCACCACTAAAAGAAACTTTCATCTTTTTCTTACAACTTGAGGTTTTTTCACTTTTCAAACTTGTAGTCAACTTTACTGCCCAAGCACGTTTAATTGATCCTTTTCTAACCTGTTTTGCACCACTTTCATGAGCCAAGGGAGTGGAGTGGGAAATGAGGACTTCTGTTTAATCATATTTTCATTTGTCAGACTTCATTAGATAAAAGAACCTATTACTGCCAGTGCAAAGATAGATAAAAGAGCTCATTAACTATTAACATCAGATCAAAAGACAAATGATGAAAACTTAATTAGATAACTTCAAGAATTCTCAGAATGACAACAACAGAACTAACACATGAACAATATACCCTGTAATCAGGGATAGTATTAAGGTCATAGAGCTTTCTGTTTTTCAAATAAACGGTCAACTCTGAAGTTTGGCATTGTAGGTTTCAAATGAGCCATTAGGAAACTCCAAATGAATCATGTAGCATCCTTTATTCATTTAAGAGGATTTTGTAGGCAAGGAGAGCATAATGATGTCACTGTCATCAAGCCTAGACTAGAGAGTAAACAAGAACGTCCCAAAGGTTTAAGGCTTGAGCCTTGTCAAGTTTATTTGTTAAAAGATTACGATGCACGATAATGCTTAACATACTTCAAATATTAAGCTGATATGTACGTCTACTTACCATGAGAAGCTGAGAAAGGTATAGTGTATTTCATTTGTATAACATGACGTATTTCTGGTTAAATCTTAAAACTCTTGATGTTGCCATCAGAATCTCCAACATACCTGCAAATTTAGAAATTAAATCGATATGAAAAATTCAATTGTCGCATGTGCTCTCTTGAAAGTTGAAATAACCTACAGTAGAGCAAAGAACCGAAGCTAGACTTGCATGTCGGGACTAGTTTGCATAACTGCAAAAGAAGTAATTTCTTCTTTAAAGACATATACATGAGACAAGAGCCTCTTTTCCGAGTCCCATACCTACTTTACAATTTCCATAAAAATTAATTCCCATATGAAAGAGAGAAAATAAGACATATTTATAGGTAAAGTATAGAGCAAGAAGACATATTTGTTTGTAAAAGTAGACATATACATAGAAACTACTTTTACAAACAAATAATATAAAAATACAATGTCCTAAATTTTATTTCTAATAATTTTTCTTA